TCTGCTTTCTCTGCTGAACGCAGCCTATTTTTCATTGCGACAGTACGTCGGTATCGTTAACGCAGAGTTCTTAGTGAGTACTCAGGAGCTCATTTGATAATTATTCAGTTTAACCCTCCTCAGCGCGAAAATGGATAAAATTATGCTTCGACGCGTTTTTGCACAAAACGGATGAATCTGGCAGAAAAAAGTATCACTCTACCCCGCGAACCGAGATATTAATCGTTAAAATTAATCAATTTCAAGGTTACGAAGTCTATCATATCGATGTAATGCAATTGAGGCTGCGTTCCGATATTCGCTGCCAGTACTGAAAATATATAGGGTTTGTTTTTATTCCCACACTAGGGCTGCACTAGAACTGAACTGACCTGAACTAATGCAAGCTAGAATTGACGAGTGTAAGCATGCAGCTAAGAAATAGAAAACTTTAGTGTAAGAAAGAAATGGCATCCGATATTATCTGTATGAAAATATTAGACTCGTCTTTTGACGAAGACAAATTATTTATTAAAAATTACTTATTAATTACTTATTTAATAAAGTATGACTTTTTTATGTTATTTTATGTTATTGAAATGTAAATATTAAAATCTTTTAGGTCTCAAGAGAAATTCTTATTTTCACATAATTACTGTTTAAATATCACTTAATTATGACCATAAATACTAAATTTAGATGGGCAATCTTAATACCTTCGGAGATACATGTGACATATTCATTTTCATTTATGAGAATCTTTCTTGCGCTCTTTTTTTATAATTTCTTTATTGTTTGCCATTTCTACTTTTTCTTCCTCTGATTATTTCCTTCATACACATTTTGGGTAATATATACAGTATGGAATGTTAGACGGAAGCGGAAAGAATATTGTGCAAAAGTCCGATTTATCAAAGTGTCTTTTATTCGTGATTTAAGAACATGTTTGTATACGTCGGTCGAATCTCGTCCGTTCCGTATCAGTTCTCTGCCCTACTTTTCTCCTTCGAAATTATTCTAAAATAAATATCTTAATTCTTACAAACAAATACAATTTCGAAGGAGAACCTATTTGCTATTGTTTGTCTCTTGTCTAGTGTTTTGATCGTTAAACGATCGAATAATTCGAAACGTAATTTCGAATTATGTTTTTCAACCCGCAGGAATTCGGTATTACAAAGACTTAAAAATAACGATCATGGAATACATGTCTAGTTCTGAATAATACAAAAAGAAATAGGCGGAGCCCGTTTGACTGTTGCAATTGACTACCAACCACTCATAGCGTTTGAACAGAGGAAAACCTCTAGGCACCAGCCGTTGTGAGTGACTGGTCAATCGCAACGTGATTAAACGGGACGCTCCCAAAATAAATTATTACAAGAAAATATAGAAAATAAATCTATTCTGTTGACCTGGTATCAGATGAATACATGCAACGTCTTCGTATTTGTCTGTATTTAGTGCTATTCTCTAGATAATTCGGCGAAATCCAAATATTGTCGAAAAAATGTGGCCGTGAGAATCATGACGATATAATCGTCACAACATAAATCATTTTAATATGATATAAAATCTTTGTAATAAAAAAAATAACTTCAAAAAAATTTCAAGCATTTGTAAGATATTAAACAGTAAGTATAAATTTAAAAACAGATATGTAATATTTATATATAATATTATTAATTATTATGCATTAGCGTTCGATTTTCTAATCTACAAATTTTCTACAAATTTAATATTTAATTAATACTGTTTTCTAAACAGTGAATGCCGATAATTTTAACTTGTATATCTCAAGTATTATGTAAAATATATAAACAATATCAATGAGATATTGAAATTTATATTCTAAGAAAGTTTCTTCTTTCATATTTACAGATTAATATTTTATGGTGTTCAAAATTACCGCTACTGATTGAATTCCGTTTGCTCTGCACTGTTTGCACTGACTCTAAACTCAGTGCAGCCAGTTCAGTGAACTTGTGCATTAAATTTTATGTACTGGAATAACGAACAGTATCATTGACATCATTTCGGGAATAAAAAACGCTTTAGTATACACTTCTTGCACTAGTTCAAGA